GATGACAGAAAAATTATATTTGTTAATAAATCAATAAAAGATATAAATAAAAATTACCACTAGATATATCAATAATATTATAAAATGGTTATCATTATAGTTAATAAAGTTCAATTATGCAAAATGTAAAATTATGGAAAACCTATATATATTGTATATTCAGTGTTTGATGTTAAATCCCCAGAAAATATAATCTTTGCAATACTAGGAGTAAATGTGATTTAGGAATAATGGTGCATTCTAATAGAAAAAGTTTTTGTCAAATGGTTATACTTAATGCCAAAAATTTAAATTGATAAATGTCTTATTCAAGCAGCAATCTTTTTTGGTCATAAAATTAAATACAAATTTTGCCAGACAACATCTTGAGGAGTCATTGTTTATAAGGAGAATTTATTTACCTGTGTAAAATACAGAAAGGTTTTAATGAAATAAATAGAATAAACAACCTAATTTCTAATACATAATTAAAATGTTACTGTTTTTGTGGTTGGTCGATGGCAAAACTTTATAAACATAATTATAGAAGAAGAATTATAAAAGTTTCAAATGTTTTCCTATGTAATGTTGAATCAATAATAATTGATAAATTCAAAAAAAAGCAACTTAATAGATTATTGCAAAAATATTTATTACAACTGAACTAAGTAAAAAAAGTATAAAAGAAATAATTATGGCAATTGGAAAAGCAAATCAAATGCTGGGACAAGTAAAGAAATCGTTTGCAAGCTTTTGTTGTCAACTTATGAAATATTTTTTTTAACATTCATTTGTCCACTTCTTGAATTAGCAATTCCAGTTTGGTCTCCTTTTATGAAAGGAGATTGTAATGCAATTGAGAAAATATAACACAGAGGAACTAAAATTGTTTCATCAATTAACAGTCTCAAATATGAATATTGACTTATTGCTTTAGGCTTAACAACCTTAACTGAGAGGAGAAAAAGAGAAGATTTGATAGCATTATACAAACTATTATACAAATTATGCACATTATACAAATTATGCACAGCATTGACAAAATAAACATAGGAAAATGTTTTCCACTTGTTAAAAATTCTTTAATATGGCTTTGTTTTAAATACCACAAAGAATTTTCTTGTGGTATTTAAAAAGATTCTTCAAAGAAACATTTTTTTTAAACAGAATTGCGAATACATGCAACTTGCTTCCAATTAAAATTGTAACAGCAAAGTCAGTTTTTTTTATTTAAAAGAGCTCTTCATTGCTGGCTGATTAGCAATGTCTCAAAACACTGGGTACAAGTGTGACATGATTTGGTTAAATATGAGTTACTGTTCCAGAAAGAAAGAGCTATAGAGCAGTTTGTAATGCATGCATAAAAGTAATAGAAGGTTAAGTTCAAAGGATGCATGAACATATAGAGAAATGCAAACAACCATAACTCTTATAAAATATTGAGTCAATAAAAGATTAATAACCTTTGAAAGGTTTTAATTAATTAAATTACTGCATCCCGATTTTAAATTATTTACTTTTTTTTAAATTTATATTTTTATATTGATAACATAAAAAATATATATATTTGTATTATTCCAAATTATTCTAATGTATCCACATATTTATTTAAAATTAATATACTGCATGTTCATTTTCAGCTAATTCATAATCAACATCACAAACAAAAAAATAAAAAGGTCTTACTCAACTTCAACTTCAGTTGGTGAAAGATTTGTTTGATCTGCAACTTAGTAGATTCATATACAGTGCAAACTCTATCTTTAGAACAGTTAAACATATAGAGTTTTAAAGTTTTAACAATGTTCATCCTGGTTACACTCTAATTAATAAAAATCAAATTGGAGGAGCAATATTAGATAAAATTTTCCCCAAAATAAAGTAAAAAATGTAATGTGTTAAATTGAAAATTGTAATGAATTGTAGCAATATTTTAGATAGATAAAGTAATGTGCATAACGAACTAATAGTTTGTTGTAATTGCAGATGATATTAACACTTTAGTAGAAAATTACAATTGACAAGAAGTACAATTATAGAGAAAGTGGAGGAACAAAATTACCACTTCCTACTGAAACATACTGGAGTTCTTTATGTGATTTACTTGAAAAATATGTCAATAACTGAAGCATCATTTTCACAATGCTTAAAAAAAATAAAGACTTGGATCCCACAATAAGTGACATACAGATGAAGTGAATTGAATATTTGTTGAAAATATTAAAACCAATTAAAGTTGCTCAAGATAAGTTGCAAAGAGATCAAACAAAAATAAGGGACACTGTTAAAATTTTTAAAGAGCTGATAAACATGTTACCATTTTTATCAACTGAAAAAAAAAAAATATTAGAAACTAGATATCTTCAAACAGTTAGTAATGCTTATTTCCTTTCAAACACGCTAGATCCTAAATATTTTGGATCTAATTTTTCACATAAATGTATCACAGAATGGTGGAAATTTCAAAAAATTTAGAGTGCAACACTATCATGGATATTAAAGGTTTAATAAATGAACTAGCTTCTTGTGCTGCAATTGAAAGAATTTTTTTGACTTTTGGGCTTGTTTGTTCCAAATTAAGAATCAAGATGGGAGTAGAAAAACGGCAAAGCTTTGTTACAGAAAATTAGATAATGATTAATTGATGAATTGCAGCAGTAATGTTAATAGAAAATTTAATTTACTCAAGTAAAATGACCAATGCTTTTTTTAATTGAAAAAGTTGACTAAACATTAATTTTTTTAAAAAAAGAGTTTAAACTAAAAATTAACAATATTAGTTTAAACATATAATAATGGTAATATCAATTTTAAACATATAATAATGGTAGTATTAATTTTAAACATATAATAATGGTAATATTAATTTTAAACATATAATAATGGTAATATTAATTTTAAACATATAATAATGGTAATATCAATTTTAAACATATAATAATGGTAATATCGTGTAATTTTTACAGATATTTTGTTTATTGTAATTTTTTTGATGTTTATTAATCAATTTGTTCTGTTGATTTCAAAAGTTTTATTTGTATCATTGATTCTTTCAATGTTATTACTTTTATAGTATATTTATTTTTTATTATGTTATAAAATATTGTGTCGATAAATATCAAATTTTTCTTAATGTGTTATTGAATGTGTTATTGAATGTGTTATCGAATATTTGAAGTTGTTGTTAGTTAAGCTATTCACTATTTTATAATCTCTTATTTTATTATGTGTGTGAATAATGTGTATAGTTTCTGTTCTGTGTGTGAATAATGTGTATAGTTTTTATTCTGTGTGTGAATTATGTGTATAGTTATTGTATTGGAAAAAAAAAACAATAGTTTTTGTTAAGATGATGAAAAGTAACAAGCATGGTGGACAATAAAAACAATAGGTTAGTGGTGGACAATATAAAGTATCTTCATTTGATAAGAGTATAAAGCTTATTCATTCACCCCTACAAGTGGAAATGCATCTGGAAATGTTAAATATTTTGACACCTGCTATAAGATTTCAACAAAGTATTGTTACTCCTATTTATTAAAATAGTAAGATTTTAAGAGATGTATGTTTTCTTATCCAAATTATTGATCAAAACATACAGAGTGAACACATATGTAAAATAAACATTGTTTTATTAATATTTGGTATGGTATCCACAAGCTTTAATCACACACCTCCTACGGCTAGGCATTGAGGCAAAAAGACCATAAATTGTTGTCTATGGGATATTGTTCCACGCGCCTTTTATCAATACTCACAGGTCATCCAAATTGGATGGTTTCTTTCCCTCAATGCTCCTAGACATGACACTCCATAAATTCTTGATGGGCTTCATATCTGGACTCTGAGCAGGCCAGTCGAGCACGTCCACTCCATTTTGACGAAGGAAATTGGTTACCTTCTTTGCTTTAAAACATGGCGCATCGTCATGCTGGAAGGTAAACCAATTTCTTTGTCTAAACAGAGTATCAGCAGATGGTAGCATTGAGTCCTGAAGCATCCCAATGTATTGGTCTTGGTTCATGTACCCAATGCACCGATACAACTGCCCTACCCCGTGTCCAGACATGCACCCCAAAATCATAACACTACCACCACCATGCTTCACAGTTAGTGCAATACAGTCTTTTTTAAACTTTTCACCAACTCTTCTTCTAACAATCAGTCTCTTTGCCCCACAGAATAGTTGAAATAAATTTTCATGGGAAAAAATAACGTTTTTCCAGTCCTCGATTGTCCAGTCTTATGATGGTAATAATATAAACATAAATTTTTTACCAATTAATAATGATGACATTAATATCACAATAAAGGTACATCACTTACCTCTACTGTCTTGTTTCCTATGCTTAAAATATGATAAACAACTTTCCAATGTGTTATAATAATTTATCAAAAAAAACATGTGCTTGTTGCTAAGGTAAACAGGAAGTGCAAAGATATTAAGGTGTCAACACAACAGAGATCAATAAATGTAGCTATGATGCTTTCATCTGATAATTATTTGGACAAAAGTTGCAGTGATTTAATTTCTGCTGGATTTGTCCTTACTTATAGTGTCCATACTTATAGTTATACATATAGTGCCATCACTGTATAATAATTGGTGCAATAGCTATGATGATGATAATGATGATGATAATGATGATGATAATAATGATGATAATGATGATGATAATGATGATGATGATAATGATGATGATATTGATGATTATGATGATGATAATAATAATGATGATGATGATGATGATGATGATGATGATGATGATGATGATGATGATGATGATGATGATGATAATGATGATGATGATGATGATGATAATGATGATGATAATAATGATGATGATAATGATGATGATGATAATGATGATGATGATGATGATGATGATAATGATGATGATGATGATGAGGATGATGATGATGATGATAGTGATGATGATGATGATGATGATGATGATGATGATGATGATGATTATGAATTTTAGTTAATAAAATATTTTTTCTTTCTTGTATTTTTGATTTATTTTCAAAATAAGAATAAGATTTAACAATATGAATAATGAATACAGTACAGAAGATGATGATTTGATTGAAGATCTTCGACAGCCTAAAAGCAAAAGTGACAAAACACGTTTAGAGAGCAGGCTTTCTATATCTTTCCCTAGCAAAGGGCTTTACAATGCTCCAGGAGATAACAATTGTTTTCTTAATGCTGCTGTTCAGGTAGATTTCAATATTATCAAACATAACTGAAAAATAGATAGAGCATGCGAGGAGTGCTGCAACATTGACTGACAAATAGGTAGAACATGAGAGGAGTGCTACTAAATCAAATCTGTTTTGGTTTGGGCTGGTCATCTATCAATTACAAAACCTTTTCTGGTCTTCTAAATTTTTTAAATAAAGAATATATATATATATATATATATATATATATATATATATATATATATATATATATATATATATGTGCTGAAAAAATGTGAAAAAAATTTTAGAAATAAATAAAATCAAAACTCTTATCTTAACTAATATTGTTATAAAAACGAAAATAAAAAATAAAGTAAAAAATTATTAATAATTATTTTTGTTTTAAGTATTAATGGAATTTGTGCATAATTTTATTTATATTAAATAAGTATATAAGTATTCATTTTATAAATGATGGCTTTTTTAGATAATGATATTCTCTTTACTGAACTTTATTATAAGAATAATTAAAGTTAATATACTCAAAAAGATTTAATTGAAAAAAAATTACAAATGATATTGAAAGCCATTTATATATAAAGCTCAAAATCAATACATTCACTGTTCAAACATTAATTGAATTTTGTAAGATTGTCAACAATGCACAGAAACAATAGGTTCTTAAAAAAAGTTGGTTTTAAAATTAGTAGTAGAACCATTTCCCCAAAAATACAAAACAGCATAGTTGGTTTGATTTGCAATTTTTAATTGTTGCACAATCCTACACACGTTTACTTAAATTACACTTTTTTTTTCAACAACATAAATTAAAAAAAAAAAAAATTGTATTTTTGCAGGTAGAATCTGCAAAAATACAAGAAATGAATATTGGTCGAAGGACAAAACAATTCAAGCTCTAATTTATATGTGTGTTTGATTATGAAAAATATACGAAAGTTGTTGATTGCACCAATATATACTTGTCATATTATTCTTTACTATGTCATATAAAAAAGTGGACTAAAAGGGCTGTGATGTTTCTAATAAATTGTGCACTATTTAATGTGTTTAGAGTTTTTAAAATATTAAATTCAAATTCAAATTCAAAAAAAAAATAAGTTTTTTACATGGTATAGCAAAGGAATGGATAAGCGAGTTTATTCTGTAAAATGAAAATTGTTCTGTACCGTACATCAGCTATATTCTGAAGAACTTATCCTGAAGGAAGTTTGTCAAAGGATGCAAATAAACATAAATTGGTCAACATTTTTGCAGGTGATATAAAAGTAAAATCACAGCGACAGTGCCATGTTTGCTTATAAGAAAAAAAGTTAAATCTTCCGTATGTACCAATTCATATGCCTCTTCATAAGTAGGGTGTTAGCAAGCGCCAATAGCGCCACAAATAATGCAGATTTAATGACCTTTGTTTTTCTTTTTTTTTGAATAGGACAACATCAATAAAAATTCCTAATATTTTGTAAATTACAAATATTCCCCATTTATTCCTGTCTAACCACCTGATAAGGGAAACTGTTTTTTTAAATACCATACTTTAGAAAAGTGGTTTTTTTTATAAAAATTAAAAAAAAATTTTATTTTAATATGTAAATGTAAATTTATCAATAGAGTTTTATTTTTTGAACAAAATATGCAGACAATTTATTTAACAGTTTTATTTAAAAATATGATATAATAAAAATATGAAAATACGAAATATAATAAATAACATCAAACATCATAAATGAAATATAATAAATAAATCATAACAAAGAAATATACAATATATAAAATATACAGTTCAGATACGTTCAATATAATATATATAAAATATAATGAATAAAATATGGTGTATGAGTATACAATATGCAAAATATGCAGATAAGTTCAATTAACAAACATTTTATAAAACAAGATACATTAGTTATTTCTGTTTGACTACCTGCTTAAATAACTTTCATTAAATTTTTGGTTTTTCAAATAAAAAAATGCAAAACCCCAAACCCCGCTGATAAACACCAGTTTGTGAAACAAGTGCTAATACCCGACCCGCTCAAAAAGTGTTAATAAAGATTTAATTCAAATTTTAATTAGTGTGTATTTCACTTTGATTAAGTCATATTTTAGATAGTAAGTTAAAAATGCGACTATAAAAATATTGTGTATTATAAAGTATATATTATTTTTAAAAAGTTTTGATTAAGAATTTAGTAATAGTTTTGATTAAAAATATAAAGTTTAAATAGCTTTTTAAAAACTACTAAAACTCTTTATTTTTAATGAAATTTTTTATAAAAACTTTAAAAATGTTTGACATTTTTTTTTCAAATGTTTAAACATTAAAAAAAAAATTAAATTATGAACTTTTTTACCTTAAAGACACTAAGTAAACAATGAATAAACATTTTTTTATTATTACATAATTACATTTTTTTTGTTTGTTTGTTTTTTGTAATTCACCTCCCCAAGGCTGAGAAGGCCACTACAGATGAGGAGGCTACTTGTGGTTATAACCCTTTCTCAACTCTTTAACCCCAAAACACAAACCTTAACGAACAAGGCTGCTGCGCAGAGAAACAAGTTGAGCGCAGTACTACCAGGGACATGGTGGGAATCAAAAATGTTAAAGCAATATTTTATTTTAAATGCACCAGATGTTTTTACTATTTCTGTTTATGTAAGTAAAATACGACTCAACATAAAAAACATTTAGTTTTACTGTTTAAAAAAAATAATAATTGTATATTTGCACAAGTTTTACTTCGGCCATGTAAACAGACTTAGTTGAGTGTGGAGGTGGGCGCATGCAATTGCCATTTTCCTGCCAAGGCCTATATATACATCTGTAATCAGGGGTCAAAATAAGTGTCAGACATTGCTGCCCTTTAGACCATTTTCGAGATCTGTTTAAGGAGGCCAACAAATAATTATTTATTTTTTCAGTAAAAATGAGCAATGGTTGGTTGCCCCTCAAACAGGTCTCAAAAACAGTTCTGGGGGTGTGGATGTCCAACACTTATTTTGACTCTTGTTTCTAATATGTATGTATGTGATGATAATATATGTAGTATGTCTAATAATAATAGTAATAATAATAATAATAATAATAATAATAATAATAATAATAATAATAATAATAATAATGATAACATGTAATTAGTCCTTTTATGTGATTTATATATATTTAAAACTGAATATCTTTAGACTCTCAGTGATGCTCTTTTCCTTGTAAACACACTAGAACCTAGATATTTTGGATCTAATCTTTTTGAAAATAAAAATGAAGTTGCTATGACATTTGCAGACAAAGAATTCAAGAGCTTGTTACCAATAATATTAAAGTTGAAAGTCAAATCGGCTCAATTCAATGAAAGCTATTTGTATAGTGGGTTTGTTTTAAAAATGTATCACCAATAGAATGGTGGAAATCTCTAAAAATTTTAGACTGCAACTTTATAATGGATATTGGAGGTTTGTTAAATGCACCAGCCTCTAGTGCTGGAATTGAAAGAATTTTTTCAACTTTTGGGCTCCATTATTCTTAGTTAAGAAACAAGAATATAAATAATATAAAATGTTTTTATATACAGAACATTAAATAATGATGTCATTGATTGATGAATTATAGCAGTAATAATGATCAAAAATATAATTTACTCAAGTAAAATGCCTAATACTTTTTTTGATTAAAAAAGTTAACTAAACATGACTTATTTAAAAAAAAGGAAATTAAATCAAATAAACAATGGTTATTTTGTTTGTTTGTTTTCAAAAAGCCATCTTTGCTTTTTTTTTTTTAAGAAAAAAAGATTTTTAGTCTGATTTAAATAACACTATTTTTTTTTTGTCCTTGGTTCAACACATTTTTAGTCTGATTTAAATAACACTATTTTTTTTGTCCTTGGTTGAACACATTTTTAGTCTGATTTAAATAACACTATTTTTTTTGTCCTTGGTTGAACACATTTTTAGTCTGATTTAAATAACACTATTTTTTTTGTCCTTGGTTGAACACATTTTTAGTCTGATTTAAATAACACTATTTTTTTTGTCCTTGGTTGAACACATTTTTTTTTTGTCCTTGGTTGAACACATTTTTAGTCTGATTTAAATAACACTATTTTTTTTGTCCTTGGTTGAACACATTTTTTTTTTGTCCTTGGTTGAACACATTTTTAGTCTGATTTAAATAACACTATTTTTTTTGTCCTTGGTTGAACACATTTTTAGTCTGATTTAAATAACACTATTTTTTTTGTCCTTGGTTGAACACATTTTTAGTCTGATTTAAATAACACTATTTTTTTTGTCCTTGGTTGAACACATTTTTTTTTTGTCCTTGGTTGAACACATTTTTAGTCTGATTTAAATAACACTATTTTTTTTGTCCTTGGTTGAACACATTTTTTTTTTGTCCTTGGTTGAACACATTTTTAGTCTGATTTAAATAACACTATTTTTTTTGTCCTTGGTTAAACACATTTTTTTTTTGTCCTTGGTTTGAACATTTTTTTGTCCTTGGGTTAAAAGTGCATTAGCCCACAGGGTAAATAACACAATGTTCAGGGTAAATAACACTATATATACATTTTTTTTGTCCTTGGGTTTAAAATGTATTATCCTAACTAGTTTATCTGCAAATAAATGAAAAATAGCTGTTTTTTCACAATATCTTTCCTTCTATCACTGGGACAATCATATTGTAAAATTTGTGTGATTTCAAGAAAGCTCTATTGAATACTGATCATTAAAATACGTCTAAAATATTCCTAAACTGCTACTATTATCCAGAAGGGCCGAACACTTTTTATAGTATTCTAGAACTTTCAAGTAACTTCTAAATCTTTCTTAAAATATTCCAGGCTCAAACAGTGGAACTTTTTGGATAAAAATGTGCAAGTCACAGATAAGATAAAGTATAACTGGTTTCCAACTTCTTTAATTTTTTAGAATATAGGCGGTGCATCTCCAATGGTGTGGTCAAGTTTTTTTTCAATATTGGTTCCCACTCCTAATTGCAAGAGCAATCAGGTATGGGAACCATTAATAAAACCTTGAACAGTGCTTATCCCACCACTGCACATCAAGTTCAGTCATCAAGCATTTTTATCACTGCCCTTGAAAAGTTGTCAGTACCCTTTAATTACCTAATAAATCCTTTTCTTTCTACTGTTTGTGGCTAAGGTAATATCTTTGTTAAACCACAGATCAATTATATTATAGAGTGTGATAAAATTACTTCAAAGTAATGAATAGGGTGGAGAGAGCAGCTTGGAACAGTTGTTCGTGGCTTCTTGGGCAACTACAATGCTGAAAGTTACGTAGAGTTGTTTCAGATTATCACGGGATCAGTACATGAGGTTAAGCCAAAGTGCTTTTATCAAAGTATATTAGACTTTGAATTTTGTTATTAAGGACAGTATAATGAAAACATGGTGGAGAACTAAATTTATAGACTACTTCATAAAAGTGATTTCTAGTACATTTCCTAATCTGGAAAATTTACTTATTTCTAAAGTTTTTTGAGTTTTTTTCTATTCAGTATGCAGTTGTTATTTTTATAGATTAAATAAAGAATTATATATTATATATATATATATATATATATATATATATATATATATATATATATATATATATATATATATATATATATATATATATTAGGGTGTCCTAGCCGCCCCTTATATTCTAAAAAAGATCTGTTCATATTCTTAAATCTTTCTATTGTTTCTCACAAGCAACTCTGTTAAATTTTTTCAAAATTTTATTGGATTTAGGGGGAGCACAAGACCCTTGAACACTTACCAGGTTTATTATTAAAAAAAAAGTTTTTTAAAAGTATGTCATGTTGGGTCTCAAAAGAAGCAAAAGTTTTTTTTGGGAATTATTATCAAAAACTGCTTTTATTTTTAGTTATAAAAAGTTTTTTTTTTTGCAATAAACTTTAAAATGATAATTTTTTAATAAAATGATTAATACTTTTAAATAACTTTATTTTTAATAATATTAGGGGACCCGGTAAGTGTTCAAAGATCCTGTGATCCTAAATCCAATAAAATTTTAACAGAGTTGCTTGTGAGAACCAATAGAAAGTTTTAAGAATATAAACAGATCTTTTTTAGAATATAAGGGGTGGCTGGGACACCCCAATATATATATACATATATATATATATATATATATATATATATATATATATATATATATATATATATATATATATATATATATATATATATATATATATATATATATATATATATATATATATATATATATATATATATATATATATATATATATGTATGTATATATATATATGTATATTTACACACACACATAAGGTTGAATATATATATTAAGTTAGACTTTTTTTGAAAATTACTCCTATTACAGCCTTAGATTTGTTCTATATAAAGTAAAATTTAGTGAATTTAAAAATTATATAAGTAAGAATTGTAGATTATTTTGATTTCTATTTTTATATTTTCTTTGTTGTTATTCTATTATTCTAAAATATGAAAACACTCAATAACTCAAATAATAAGTGAACAACAATGAAAATAATTAGCAGCACCAGTTTGAAAAAATTAAATGCAATAGTATAATTTATAAAAGTATAATATGATATATTTTAATTTAATATATAATACTTTAAATAAAATACCATAACACTTTACATATAAAACATTTATAATTTTTTTTTTTAATTTTTTTTTATAAAATTATTAATAAATTTAGTAAATAAGTAAAAATTGCTTTTATTTTTTTTAAAGATTTTGTGGCATTTGAATGTTTTCCGCCGTAGTTTTCGCCTACTACAAGGACATGCATGTTTAGATAATGCCTGCATTTTTTGTGCTCTTAAGGTATTAAATTTTTTCTATATATTGTCAATATTGATTTTAACTTTAATTTTTCTAGAATTCTAAGTAATTTTTCTAGATTTTTCTAAGTATTACTTATTTCAGGATTAAGATCATCATCACTCTAATAATATATAATCAAGTACAATCTGCCTTGTCCTGCTGCCTTTTAGGATTTACTATTCTAGGCAATGGCAAGGAAAAATTAAATCTAACTTAAAATACATACACCTCTGGGGCTCTTTGCTGAGTAAAGGTAAAGTAAAATATTTATAAAAATACTCACCTTTGGCAGAAGTTTTCTTCATCTATATCAATGATCTTCATGTTAACTGCCCAAATCAACTTGTTAATCATTTTAACAGAAAAGTTCTACTGTGCATTTGGTGAAGGTGGCAAGGGCTGTTGCTAATGACATGTTAAATGGTTTTAATGAAGTCTAGCATGCTGGCATTTTCTTTAAGCATCATATGTTGCATCTATAAATTTTCTTAAAACTATTGGATTCATTTCTTTTTTTTTGCAGTAATTAATTTGTCCTTGATGGACAAGCTCGCCTTTATTTCCATTAACTTCTGAGAAACCACAAGGTTCCATCCTCAGTCTTGTGTTTTTCTTCATCTGCATCAATGATCTTCATGATAATCCTCTAAAGTGAATTTCTTTGCTGACGACTAGTCATGACATTATTAAATTTAAGTATTATTACATGAAATTATTAAATTAAAGTAGTTCTGATATTAAATAAAATAAATAATAACAAAAGTTTAGTATTAACTCTATTAAGTATTAACTATTTCTAAATGTTTAAAAGCATTTATTAGTTTTACTGGTTTAAAGTTTGAAGCTGTGAAGATTTAGTAAATTACTTGGAAGTTATAATTTCCAACCTTAAAAACTTTTTATAATTGTAAGATAATGACATGCTTGAAAAACAGGTTATTAAAATGGTAAAGTTTCAGTAGTTACCGCTTAACAACTTTTTCTTTTTCTTTCTTACCTTGTTTATATATAGTTTATATAGAGTTCAACTTTATATTCTTTAATGATCTAAAAATTATTTTCAATCATGAACATTTACCAACTGTTTCAAGCATTAGTATATCAGTAAAGTCAGTGTAAAGTCAGGCTCAGGTGCAGCATTTTTTGATTTTTGTGATACCTAACTTCCGGACATTGAGCAAACTCCAAAAATTTATATATTTTATATCAAATAAGGATGCTTTGCAAAAAATTACGATGATTAGAGCCTGGGATCCTAAAATTATAGCTACATCTACCAAACGTGATAGCATCAAGTTAATCAAATATTTTCTTTTATTAAATCTTTTATTAAAGCATTTGATAGTTACTGGTTACTATCACCAAAAATGAGTCTGTATTCTCATAAACAAAAAATGCTTATCAGTTAACAAAAAATTTTTTAGTATCACTAAATATGTTTTAGTATCACTAAATATGTTTTAGTATCGCTAAATATGTTGATACTTTTAGTATCAAACATATTTAGTATTTGGTGTGCAGAAATGTTCAGAAATGGAAAATTACCTGCTTTTAGTATCAGGAGCGGTGTACAGCAAGATGGCATTCTGTCACCATTACTGTTTAGGTTTTACATAAGTAGTTAGATTTTAACTATTTTGTCTAACTGTAGAATCAGTTTAAAGAATCAGCAAGTGTCACGTATGTCAAAAGAAACATTGTTATTGGTTCCTGTTAACAGAATTATTATTGGTTAACAGAATATTAAAACTCTATAATAAGTTGTTAAAAATTTATCATTATATATATATATATATATCGATAGATTTTACCGTGCATTAGGTAGAGGTGGAGAGGTTAAGGCTATCGCACTTGACATTTCTAAAGCTTTTGATAAAGTTTGGCATGCTGGTCTTCTCCATAAGCTTTCTTCTTATGGTGTAGCTGGTAACGTCTTTAAGATTATTGAGTCCTTTCTTTCCAATCGTAGTATAAAAGTTGTCCTCAATGGACAACACTCTTCTTCACATCCTGTAACTTCAGGGGTTCCTCAAGGTTCAATCCTTGGCCCTATACTCTTTTTAATTTACATTAACAATCTTCCAGATATTCTCACATCTAAGGTGGCATTATTCGCTGACGACACTACCATTTACTCTTGTCATGATAAGAAGCCTACACTCTCTGATTGCTTGGAGGGGGTATCTGAGCTTGAAAAGGATCTCACTTCTGCTACAGCATGGGGCTCACAGTGGCTGGTCAACTTTAATTCAGATAAAACTCAATTTTATTTGGCCAATCGTTATCGTAATAATTTAGATCTTCCTATATTTATGAATGGTAATGTACTAGATGAGTCATCTACCATTCATCTTCTAGGATTAACTCTTACTTCTGATCTTTCTTTTAAGCCGTATATCAAATCCATTGCAAAATTAGCATCTGCTAAGGTTGCATCTCTTTATCGAGCTCGACACTTTCTTACTCCAGATTCTATTCTATATCTCTATAAATCTCAAATCTGTCCCTGTATGGAATACTGTTGCCACATCTGGGGCGGATCTTCTAATGATGCTCTTTCTCTTTTAGACAAGGTGCAAAAACGAATTGTAAACATAGTTGGACCTGCTCTGGCAGCCAATCTCCAACCTTTGTCACATCGTCGTAATGTTGCTTCTCTTTCTCTTTTCTACAAATACTATAATGGGCACTGCTCTAAAGAGCTAGCGTCCCTTGTGCCATATACTAAAATTCATTCTCGTGTTACTCGCCATTCAATTAAGTCTCATCCTTTTTCTGTGACTGTTCCTAAGTGCTTCAAAAACTCTTATTCTTCTAGTTTTTTTCCTCGAACATCAGTTCTTTGGAATTCGCTTCCTTCATCTTGCTTTCCTGATTCATATAATTTGCAATCTTTTAAGTCATCAGTCAATCGTTATCTTGCTCTACAGATTTAGTCTTTCCTCTTCCAGTAACTTCCAACTCTTATAGTGGTTGCTTGCAGCCTTGTTGGAAGTGAAGATGTTAAAATATATATATATATATATATATATATATATATATATATATATATATATATATATATATATATATATATATATATATATATATATAAAATCATAATATAATTAGATATAGATAACAACTATATTTGCTTAATAATTTTTTTTTTTTTTTTACAAATTTTATTAATTCATTTTAAAGTTAACAATAAAAATAACTTTGGTGGAAAAAAAGTATTGTTTTTTATTATAGAGAATGTTTCAAAAGCTCCAAGATAGTGATGCATCTGCAATTGATCCTGATGATTTAAGACAATCAATGGCCAAAGCTTTTGTTGTATGTTGGCATTTTACAGGTCAGCAGACTAAAAGACTGAGTCAACTCAAAAATTTACAATTTTACTTTAGTCTGCTGACCCTTTTTTTATTGTTTTTTTAAATATTTTTTTTTAAAAAGTTAAACATTCAAAATATTTTCTAATTGGTAAGAATATTGAATATCTCTGAGTTTTTAATTAGCTAGTGTGCTTAAACTTTGAATATTTGCATTAACAATATACATTTACATTTATACATTAACAATATACATTTACATTTACTATATACGTATACATTTATATCAAGAAAATTGCTTAGTTACAAGTACTGCAGTTTGTAAGAATATAAAGTTTAATGTTATTATGATTAGAATAAATATAAGAAAAAAGGATAAATAAAACACTAAAGTTTAAAATAACAAGATTTTTTTAAATTTTAAAATATTAACAGATAGACTCTGACTCCACTAAAAATGTCGCATAGTTGCGACATTTTTAGTGGAGTCAGAGTCGCTAAACAAAATTGCGACTCCGACTCCAATAGTAAAACTCAGTATTACCCGTGCATGTACAAAACATTCAATTAACTTTATGTTCATACTAAACCTCAAAGAACGTTTCATAAATTTGTCAAAAAAGAAATTTTTAACTTATCACGTAATATTTTTTTAAGAATTCAAAGAATTTATCAAAAATTTTGCTTTATAGTTGGAGTCGGAGTTGGAGTCGGAGTCGGAGTTGTGCTCAAAAAATTTCAGCAACTGTAGTCGGAGTCAGAGTTGTACTCAAATAATTTTAACAACTGGAGTCAGAGTCGTTACTTTTTTTTTATGACTCCACACCAATGGTATTAGATTAATGAGGACTATTGATTGTTTTAACAAAAATAGTTATTTTTCAATTTATATTGTTTCCCTAATGTTTATCTACATTTGTTCAAATATGCTTATAATTTATTATTATATTTATTATAGTTATTACTCATAACCTAAAAGTTATTACACAGTACAAAAAAACAAAAACACTATAAAGCACTATAAAAAAACACTATAAAGCACTGAAATTATGAGAAGTGAAATTTTATGTTAAGTTTATTTTAATGGTAAATTTCATTGTGATGTTATTTTTCTGCTCTCTAGCTTATATAAAGTATTTAGTTTTTTTCTTTCATATAGTTCATTCTCGTTCATCAGGGGCTATTCTAGACTGTTTTGGACAGCGCTGATCGTATTTTGGCACACATTTTTTTCACAACAGATATTGTTTTTTTTTATAAAAAAATGTCTACATTCATGGCAATGTTTCTGCTAAATTTCCTTATAGCAGGCGCTGGCACAGCAGGGGGGGGGGGACTGCTGCCCAAATTATTTTCCTAGAATAGCTACTGTTCATATAGTTTATTTTAATAAGATGTAAATCGTTTATATTACTTATTTGTAATGAGGTAGTAAAATTATAAATGATGAATATTAATACCACAATTTATAATTTATCATAGATGAGTCTTTTCCGGGAATTCCGGAAATTCACTTTGAATTTTCCAGAAATTTCCGGATGTTTTTTGTTATTAATTTGAAAAAAATTTATATATTTTTACATAAAATTTTAAATACAACAACTTTTGCATTTAGATCAATTTTCATAACAATTTTTTTACTTTTTTTTTTTGCTTTTTAATTCATTCAAATTAACTTTTTCGAATATTAGAAATTCTATTTTGTAAAAAGTTAATTTCGTTTTAAAAGTTTACGAAAGTTTTTGTTGTCTGTTACTGTGTTATTCATTCTTATATGTGCGTTTATTTAATTTTATAAGCGTATTTATTCATTCTTATATGCGTTTTAAAAAAACAATAAAAACAAAAAAAATTAATTGAAGCATTTTATTTTAAAAAAACAATTTACTTTTTTCAAAATAAATTTTTCTTATTTCCTGGTAAACGAGGTTAAAAATACAAAATAAAACAAAGACTTTTTACATTCGATGATGGTTTATTTAATTTAGTATCATGTCTTTGTTTAATTTTATTACATTATTAAATTTCTTGATTGATTAAATTATTATTTATCTTATTATTCATTTATATAGATTTAAATTTAATTATTTATAATTATTATTAATATATCTATATATAAAAATTTAAAAGCCTATTTGTTTATATTAAATTATATTAGAGATTTTATGATTGGTTGACTCGCATTTAATTGCGCATATAAGAATGAATAAACACGCATATAAGAATGAATAAACGCATATAAAAATCAATTGACACGCATATAAAAATGAATAACCCTGTAAAATGATCAATTTTTAATAAAAGTATTCCTTCCTTTTTCGCAATATAATGCATTAGTTCTGGATATACCAGAATGTCTTGGACACATATCTAAATGGATGAGCGAATCATTCTTATGCATTAACCAATCAAAAACTAAAATATTAATTATGGCACCACCTAACATTCAAAAAGATATTAATATTAAAGGTGCTTTTGTTAACAAGGAATGCATTAGGTTTGTTGGCTCCACAAAAAGTTTGGGTGTGATACTTGACAATGACCTGTCTTTAAAAACACAGATAAATAAGATTGTGAAAAGTTGTTACAATATAATCAGCAAAATATCCAAAATAAAATAATTCTTATCGCATAAAGATTTGTGCACCATAGTATGTTCATTAATTTTTTCATAGCTAGATTATTGCAACTTCCTCTACTTTGGAATTGAGAAGTCATTATTAAAAAAACTGCAGTCTGTTTAAAATTGTGCATCAAGACTAGTATTTAAAACCAGAATAAAAAATCAAATAAATGATCAGGTATTTATCAATTTGCATTGGCTTAAAATTAGAGAAAGAATTTATTTCAAGGTTTTATTAATGATGCACAAGTGAATCAAATTACATCATTGTGTAATTTGATTCACTTCTCAACGTCAGAGAGAACTCTGAAATTAAAAGAAACAAAATCCAGCAATTGTTTTGGTAATTGGACGGTATCCCACTATGGTCCTAGACTTTGGAAAATTCTTCCAAGTATCATTCGAGATTAAAAAAAATACATATTTAATGGTGAATAGCGAACTATTCCACTAGAAAACTCTAGAATATTAAAAATTATAAACTAATATAATAATTTATTGCACAGCTGAGCAAGTGTTTTGCCAGCTTACCCTTTATTTGGGCAAAACACAGTAGCTGTGGGTAGACCCATGTATTTATTTTATTTGTTTATTTAAAATAATTTTTTGGAATTTCCCGGGATTTTCATAAATCGAATTTTTTTTTTTAGATAAATCTAATTTTTTTAGTCCTGAATAGTTGAGTTGTTACAAAGAATCGGAGACTGGGCTTTTCTTAAACAGAAAAAAAACATGATCAAATTTACTTTTTTTTAAAATTTTTTTCAACAACTTGACTTCAAACAAGGCAGCATGCAATCACTATTAGAGTAGTTAGTTAAAGGATAGTGTCCGGAGTAAGAAAGTGTAGAACACAATAAAAAGAGATGCAACCTTTGCAGATGCTAGTTTTGTAATGGATTTGATATACGGTTTCCAAGAAAAATTTGGAAGAAAGAGTTAATCCTAGAAGATAAAGGGTAGATGACTCATTGAGTACATTACTGTTCATAAATATAGGAAGATCTAGATTATTGCAATTATAATTGGCTTAACAAAATTGATTTTATCTGAGCTAAAATTCACCAGCAACCAAGAATCTCACGTTATAGCAGATGTGAGATACTTTTCAAGCTCCAAAACCCCCTTTAAGCGATCAAAGAGTGTTGGCTTCTCATCAAGACAAGAATAAATGGTAGTACCATCAGCAAACAATGCCATCTTAGGTGTGAGATGTTCTAGAAGGTTGTTAATGTAAATTAGCAAGGGTATTGGGCAAAGGATAGAACCTTGAGGAACCGCTGAAATTACAGGGTATGAAGAAAAGTACTGTCCATCAAGGGCACCTTTTATACTACAATTTGTAAGGAAGGATAATCTTAAAAGGTATTATACATGATGTTTCACTAATTTCCAGATGTTTTTTGATATTAATTTGAAAAAAAATTAGTATATTTTTACATACGACAACTTTTGTATTTAAACAAATAAGTTTTCTATAATTAAAATTTTCACGAGATTGATTTTTGTAACAATTTTTTTTTTTTTTTTTTTTTTTTGCTATTTAATTCATTCAAACTTTTTCAAATATTAGAAATTCCTTTTTGTAAAAAGTTAAATAATCTAAATTCCGTTTTAAAATAATCTTAATACCGTTTGTCAGTTAAATGCGATCAATTTTTAATAAAATAATTTTCCGGGATTTTCCAGGATTATCATAGAAAAAAAATTTACGGGATTTTCAGTACACATAATATAAAAGTTTATTTGATAGTTTTATAGACTTCTCTTGATACATTTAATGTTTTTAATTGTTTATATTTTTGCAGTTAAAGATCATTTTTCTAAAGGAATCGAGGTCAATTTTTGTGAAGTTGAGTTTGGGTAACTTTAAATTAAATCAGCGAAAACAGGTAGAAGATCAGAGAAATATCAGGGAAAAGTCAGGGAAATCTAAAAGTCAGGGAAAAGTCAGGGAAATCCACCTTAAAATATTAGCAGACATCCTGAGAAGCTGAAGTGACATGAATGTCAAGTAATGGATCAATCTTTTTGTGTGTTATATCAGGTAGAACGCAACTAGCGGAGTCAAAAGATAAGATTGATTAAAAGTTCTTAGCAAACAATTCAGCTTTGTCTTCAGGTGTGGTGAAAAAATCTGAACCTTATAAGAGAGGCAGAGCAAACGATTTGCCATTATTATAGATACTGTTAAAGGTTCTCCAGAAGTCACAAGAACCTAATTTTTGAGATGAAATGCGAGATTTTGTGCCCTGATAATAGTAGGCTTTGGCATTAGACAAAAATTTTTTATAATGGTTTCTAGCAATAGTAGACAGATTTCTAGAGAATTATTTTGCTGATAGATATGGAAGTAATGGTTTAAATTGAAAATTGCAGCA